TGTGTAATACAGCGTTCTAAATATGATTGTATATGTGCAATACAGCGTTCTCAATATGGTTGTATGTGTGTAATACAATGTTCGAAATACGATTGTATGTGTGTAATACAAATTTCTAAATACAACTGTATATATGTATTACAGCGTTCTAAATACGATTGTATTTGTATAATATAGTTTTCTAAATTCTATTGTATGTTTGTGATACAGCGTTCTAAATGCTATTGTATGTGTGTGATACAGCATTCTAAATATGGCTGTATATGTGTAATACTACGTTCTAAATACGATTGTATGTGTAATACAGCGTTCTAAATACTATTGTATGTGTGTGTGATATAGCATTCTAAATAATATTGTATGTGTGTGATATAGCGTTCCATATACGATTGTATGTGTGTAATACAGCGTTCTAAATATGGTTGAATATGTGTAATACAGCGTTCTAAATATGGTTGTATATGTGTAATACAGCGTTCTAAATATGGTTGTATATGTGTAATACAGCGTTCTAGATATGGTTGTGTATGTGTAATACAGCGTTCTAAATATGGTAATAAGTGTGTAATACAGCGTTCTAAATACGATTGTATGTGTGTAACACAGCGTTCTAAATACGATTATATGTGTGTAATACAACGTTCTAAATACGATTGTATGTGTGTAATTTGCGTTCTAAATACGATTGTGTGTTTGTAATACAGCGTTCTAAATATGGTAGTATATGTGTAATACAGCGTTCTAAATACGATTGTATGTTCTAAATACGATTGTATGTGATTCGTATGATAGCATGCATATAACTGCCATAGGTTACGCTTTCCTGAAGCTCCTTTCTCCGTACACATACGGCATTAAATCAGAACATACAGCTTTAAATAAATGTAAGTTGCTATGAAAATTATTTTATTTGGGCAGATTTTGTCAACAAGCTTATGCAAATTGGTAAAAATAGAAAACGTGGCATCATATAGCTCCAGACAGACCTTAATATATTTATTTCGCTAAATATTGTAGAAATCTCTGCCAACCCCATAATCATACAACTTGTCTTTTCATTCGTACTTTCACCGTCTCTAATGCTTTCAGATATAGATGTTGATGTAATACCTTATTAGATTAGAATGATACTTAGAGTTTTCCAGAAAGTTCATATTTTATTATGCATAAAATGTGTAGTCAAAAAAAGGGAGCAAATTTATAAAGAAAACAATCTAAATCATGGTGTAAATTCGAAAGGACTGAAAATCACGCTCACATGTAAAATAATTAATATCCATACATTGGAAAACAAATGGCAAAAAGGTGGTCAACTTCTAGAAAATCGACCTGTTTACAGTTTGAAGTAATTTCGATTGGATAATTGTAGTCATGTCACGTGGTGATCATTTACGAACTAGAATCCTGGAGATGTTTATAGGAAGAGTAGTATATATATATATATATATATATATATATATATATATATATATATATATATATATATATATATATATATATATATATATATATATTCCATTCCTATTTTGTTATTACTGATCATATTTATGTTCAGTTTGCAAAGTATCTGGATTCAATTTTAGATGAATTATATACGTAAAATATTTATTGACATTACAATGTTCTTGTAAAAATGTTAGGACTAATTACTATTTTGGAATTATTGTGAATTCATTCAAGGAGTTATGGACAGTGCCTGTTGGTACTTCAGCACATTCAATGATCTTGGTACATATTATCACATTCATTTGGAACAGTCTATCCTTTTGAACTTGTGATAGAATTTTTAGTATTATTTTGGATTTAATTCAAAAGCCCTGAAGTTTGCCTTAAATTGTCAATTTATAACTTAGAGAATTAAATTACTTGCTATGTTTTTTTTTTAAACCTTATTGGTTTAACTTGTTAATGTTTCTTAGAATAAGGCTATTGAGTCTTAACACATATATCACAGAGTGGAAGTCGGTACACTCAGGTAGAAAATGGGTTCCACTCAGATTGGATACAGGTTTATTATTTTCTGTAAATGTTATTTTATGTTATATCATTTGAAACGGAATCTTTATCTCTGATCCATTATTATGTATTACTAAAAGCGGACTTTATATCTCTCATCCATTAGTAACTCTTATTAGAAACGAACTTTATATCACTGATTCATTATTATGTATCCATGATCCATTATTATGTATTATTTCAAGCGGACGTTTTACTTGCATATTTTTTTTTCGAATGAGTTGAATTAAATGTATCATTTCTACTGCCTTGTTTAACGTTTTATTCACAATCAGATTCTTCCTTTTTCTGTGAAGTTTTTGCTATATACGTTTATAATTTTTTTCCTTTATCTAGTTATCAATTAAATGTTTTATAATTTATCCTCTCCATATAAGCTTCTGGTCCTATCTTGCTTTTTCGATCCATTTTTAAATCTCCAATAATTATATTTCCTATTGAAAAGATTTTTAAATATTTTGTCAAATAATATATAACTATTTTCTTAATTGTCCTAAAATTTAATGGAATATATATGTTTATCAGATGCCATCGTTCCGTTAAAATTTTCGTCAGTAATTTTAATTGACCACCATAATTTTAATGTGTTATTTTTAGACAAATAGCTACCTTTGATCCTCCCGACGTAATGCTACTGTTTACAATAACCAACACTTTTAGCTTTCTTCTAGATGATTTAATTAATTGACGTCTAGAGTGTGCTTCTTGTAATTACGCTGCATCAGATTGCTTTGTTTATTTTTTATTACTTTGCCTTTAGTTCCATTTACATTCAAGGATATCACATGGAGGTTGTGTCTGGCTATGGTATAATTGAAACGGTGATTTATATTCTGATTGATTGTTGTTTATTAATTTAGTGTTTTTGAAACTTTTAGTCAGATATTGCTTGGTGGTGTTTATTTTCGTCTAGAGAAATTCTTCTTTTTATGCTTCGGTAGGAACGGTTTTCTTGGCATTTGAGAGTGATTTGACATGGCTTTTTATTTGTGATATTTTCATTGGGAGGGGCTGTTTTCTAACATGTCTCGAGGTCTAGTTGCTCTGAAAATGTTGCCTTTGCTGGAGTTAGTTGTAGATCAGTCTTAAGGGATGATCATTTCAACTGTCCCCCAGTTGATATTGCATTTGTCCTCTTCCATATTTGTGGAGCTTTTGGGAAGAGGTCAAGGCCCTTCACCTTTCTCTAACATAGTTTGGTCCTCCATGAAAAAATTCTCTTATTGCCTCTCGGTTTTCATGTCGGCTCTTTTAACGAGTAAAAAGTAGCCAATGTATTTTCTATTTTAGAGTTCTTTAGCTTCTTTAGTAAATTTGTTTGCTGGGGTTTGTTTTAGTCTTCATTTTGTTCTCTTTTTTCACCTTGGGCTGAGTCCCGTTTTCATTCTTGATATTTTTCCGCTCTAGATCTCCTGTTTCGCTTATGTATTACGGAATTTGTGTTTGCTTTTTAGCAGGGCTAAGTGTGTCTGGTAGGTTTATGTTTTGATCTGTTTAGCAGAGCCTAGTGAGTCTGGTAAGTTTGGTTTTGCTCTCTTCAGCAGGGCTAAGTGTGTCTGGTAGGTTTGGTTCTGCTCTCTTCAGCAGGGCTTAGTGTATCTGGTAGGTTTGGTTTTGCTCTTTTTACCAGGGCTTAGTGTGTCTGGTAGGTTTGGTTTTGCTCTCTTCAGCAGGGCTTAGTGTGTCTGGTAGGTTTGGTTTTGCTCTCTTCAGCAGGGCTTAGTGTGTCTGGTAGGTTTGGTTTTGCTCTCTTTAGCAGAGCTTAGTGTGTCTGGTAAGCTTGTTTTTTTTCCGCAGCGGCATTTAGTCTTGAGCCTGTTAATTTATGTACTTTATTTTTAATGGATGTATCAGTTCGTTTCTTGTGGGTCTCTATTGCTACCTTATGGGCATAAATTATATTTTCCCCATTGTAAGTCAATGTAATTGGACATTCCCTAGAGAGATGTTCCCCATTGTAAGTTAATGGAATTGGACATTCCATAGAGAGATGTTCCCCATTGTAAGTCAATGGAATTGGACATTCCCTAGAGAGATGTTCCCCATTGTAAGTCAATGGAATTGGACATTCCCTAGAGAGATGTTCTGTTTGCCTGCATCTTGTGCAGGGACGAAGGCAAATGCATCCCCTAAATTAATATTGACATAGGTAGCCCATAGCGTACGTAGAAAATGGCTGTTAAGATAACGGCTTCTTCAAAGTAAAGATGACCATTCTTATTCCTGTACTTACAGAAGGCTGTCCTGGCTCATTATTATGTATTATCAAAACGGACTTTATAGCCCTGATCATTATGTTGATAAACAAATTTACTAAATCTAAGATGATCAAATTTAGTTCTAATTAATGAGAAAAGAAAGAATCTAGAAAAACCAAAAAAGAAAAACAAGGAAAGCAGACATGGAAGAACCTGAATTTGATATTCTTTCTCAAATCCGAACCAACACTTGGCTACTCTGCATCATATCAGTTAAACAATGACAAACAAAATCAAAATGTGATTATCTCCCTTTGACCATGGCCCCTGCAAACATTCAAAATAATTATCTCCCTTCGATGATGGCCCCTACTAACCATCTCGGTATGAAACATATTGTTAATTCTTATCCTTTGCTCTCCGACTATATAGGCACGGTAAGAAAAATAGAAACAATTCCTCTTTTTTTTTTACGAAAAATTATTTAACTTGGTCTTTTTTTTTTCCAACAATCTTTGACATTATTTTTACAACTAATATAAAATTATGATAACAAAAATTTAAATATTATTCATTTTGTTAGAAGTTTATAAATGCCAGCAGCAGTGTTTAATGTCTGTATGCGATGACTTGTCATATCGCTACATATCATGCAGTGTGGCATGTAGCATCATGTCCCACCCAGTCACATGATCCTGACACCAAGCCGACCAGTCCTAACACTTACCTCTTAATGCTGAGGGCCTAGAGAGGCCGCTGTTAGTACCATTCTTATAAGTCTTTGGTATGATCCGGCCAGGGTTTGAACCCGCGAACTCCCGCATCCGAGGCGGAAGCTCTAACCATTTGATTTTGAACAGACAGCTTAAAAAATCGAGTCCCACCGATCAGTCAGGACGGACTGCTGAGTCATCTACCGCATCACAATACACCGGCTTAGAACATCTACTAAATAATGCACCGGACCATAAGAAAGGACAGCTTTGCATCATTTCCTACTGCAAAACGTAGCAATCCATCAGTAGGGAAAACTTAGACCATTTTTTATTGCACAATACATGACATTCCCACTGCATAAGGTACCTACACACCGGAATAGACACCTTTGATCATCTACCGCACAATGCACCGGTTAATCGGGACGGACACCTTTCATTCTTCTCCCACGGTGTAATGCACCGGTCCATCAGGTAACATATTCTCACAATAATTTGAGCGAGAAAGCCAATCCCAAGGTCACGGATTGAATATTTTAATATCTGTAACTTTAGAAATATAAAGTCATAAAATGTTTAAAATCTTCTGAACTACGTTTCCTCTACTTGCATATTCAATGAGATTACCATAAATTATGTGGAACATCTGTTTATGCAGTTCTTCGTTGGCTTCTCAGACAAACATAGTAATAAATGGAACACAGCCAACTACGTAAAGAAATCGTATCGTCTAATTAATCAAACCGATGGCAGTCATTTTCTAAAATTTAATGTCCAACAACAACCATTACTTTATAACTTGAAACAAGACTTGCCCCCCCCCATGCTGTTATTGAACAGTCTTTGTTTAGGAGGTAATAGGTGTATGAACATAATCAATCATAGCTCACTGTTACGTATTGTTATATCCCTCACTGTTACGTATTGTTATATCCCTCACTGTTACGTATTGTTATATCCCTCACTGTTACGTATTGTTATATCCCTCACTGTTACGTATTGTTATAACCCTCACTGTTACGTATTGTTATATCCCTCACTGTTACGTATTGTTATATCCCTCACTGTTACGTATTGTTATATCCCTCACTGTTACGTATTGTTATAACCCTCACTGTTACGTATTGTTATATCCCTCACTGTTACGTATTGTTATATCCCTCACTGTTACGTATTGTTATATCCCTCACTGTTACGTATTTTTATATCCCTCACTGTTACGTATTTTTATATCCCTCACTGTTACGTATTGTGATATCCCTCACTGTTACGTATTGTTATATCCCTCACGGCAGTTCCGTGTTATTGCCACAGTGCTTTGACCCTGGGTATCAGATTTTTAGAAATTGACAAAACTAATTGCGTATCACCCTGGGGGTTGAAAAGTTCTATTTTTACACTCAGAGATGCAAACCTATATTAAATTTAAATTCGGATTGAACATGTCAGCTATTTCTAATGATGAGAAACAAAAAAGAATATTTGCCTTTTTAACAAAATTATATAAAAATGTACACTCTTTTCATTTGCTATTTGTTTTCTTTTACTTTTTATTACTTTTTTTTCACTGCAATTTAAGCACATCTTCATCTTCTTCAAAATGACCTAAAAGAAAACAAATATTTATAAAATACGTATAAAATTGAGTTGTATGCAAAAATATGAATACTCATTTTGTTTTATTTCCAGGCATTTTCCAGATTACTGATTTGGATAGAATACAAGTTAAGTGTGAGCCCTAAGCTCCGTTGAAGAATTTAAAAAGTCTTGATAATAATAATAATAATAATAATAATAATAATAATAATAATAATAATAATAATAATAATAATAATAATAATAATAATAACAGCAACCATCAACAACCAGACAATCAACAGATCTGACTAAAAAGGTAAAGTAATATTTGCTTTTGTAAATTTTCCTATAGTACTAGGTGATTCAAGAACGAAGATCAACCCAAAATTTTCTTTCAAAATTTTTGATAAGTGGATAACCATAATATCAGCTGAATTATAATGGTTTTATTCAATTTAAGCTTAGTTTTCTCAACGGGAGTCTCCTCAAAAGGTCATTATCAATTACCACACTTAGCAAATTGAAATTACCCTAATTTGTAACTTCTGAAACTAGAAGACAAATATAAACCTGTTAGATTACACTATACTTCATCACGTAAGCACTATTACGCCATATATTATATTGACTACATATTTTATTTGGACTTTACATCTCACATACTCTGTTTTACGTTGACCCTCTGTTAGGGGTGCACAATATGTCGATCGCGATCGACCGGTCGATCGCGAAGGTAGAGTAGGATTAAAAAAATGTCAGCATATATATGTCTTGCATTTTTTGTTGCAGGTAGATCATTTTGGATAGGTCATTTTATAAGTAGCCCGCATGCTGAAAAAGTTTGTGCACCCTTGCCCTATATGCTTATTTTCTGACTTGTCTGACTTTAAAAATGCGGTTGGTGGTTTTGGTGGGGTATTTACTACTTATGATGAGGGTTTAAAGAGAATAATTATAAGACCAGACAGATTGAACGATTATTTTCATTGGCTCGTAGACTTTTAGGGAATTATAAACATTTTTCAGTATTCGCAACAAGTCTATATAGGCTGGTTGAGACAATCTATCTATAGGTTTATTTCATGTGGAGATATACATGTAGAGTTTTGCAAACACAACGTTTTTGTGTTTATTTGTTTATTTTGTATGTTTTGTATTGGCCTTTGAAAAAGACTCGTTAAGATTCGAAAGCGCTCAGGCAAGTTGGTTACTAGTTTCGAACTGTTCGTTATCAGTTTATTATATCTATCTTAATCAATCCCTGACACACGTTATCCCTTGCTGGATCCAGTGCGCTTGAAAGGGTTGCTATTCGCCATATGATTTGTATTCTTTCTATATATATATATATATATATATATATATATATATATATATATATATATATATATATATATATATATATATATATATATATATATGCCATTGGGCCTTTATCTGAAAAGCAATATATATTTCACACTCGTCAATAGTCAATACACTTCAAGCTTTTTTTCGGGGGAGTGGTAAAGGGCCGATTTCTCTCCATCCTCTCCCTTCTCCCAGTCCTTCATTGTTGTCCTTGTCCTCCCTATCTTTCTCTCTCCTCCTCTTCACAGTACATATGTTTATAAAGATAGGAAAACAGAACAGAATACATGGTTACAAAGATTCTTTGAAGAATAGATCCATTTTTAAAAATGGATGTTCAAGACTGGTTTATTTTTATGCTTCATTCCTTTCGTCTTCTTTGTCTTCGTCTCAATCCGGTTTTCGCTCTGTTGTTGAAAGTGCAAGGCAAACAGATTACACACATGTATTTTGGGAATACTCTACGACAATGTTCCCCCAACAGCATTTTATGCTTGTTCGTGTGTGTGTTTGTGTGTGTGTGTGTGTTTGTGTGTGTGTGTGTGATTTACAAAGTCGTTTTAAGAAGTTTGGGGGCCCTAAGCACAACATCTAACCTTAAAAGTAACCAGAATTGAGTCTCAATCTCTCATTCTTAGATATAGAGTTATGCATTGCATTTTCGTGTGCATGTGTGTCATGTTGTTAAATTTATTAACATTGTTCTAAACAGCTAACACAACCGACATCGAAACTTTGTTTCCGGCAGCCGTGGTACCCTCTACTTTGTTGGGCCCTAGGCACGTGCTTGTGCCTTAAAACGGCACTGGCGATTTGGACTTTTTAATATAACTTTAGCAGTTGTTCACTCATACCACTATTACGTCAGCAGTGTTGCAGTTTTTATGGATGTCTAGAATTGAGACATAATGCCGCAGACATGTAGCATAATGTCTCACCCAGTCACATTATCCTGAAACCTGGCTGACCAATCCTAACACTAACTTCTTAATGCTGAGCGCCTAGCGAGGCAACTATTAGTACCACTTTTATAAATCTTTAATATGACTCGGTCGTATTTGAACCCGCAACCATCCGCATCCGAGGCGGACGCTCGAACCACTAGACCACCTGAGATACTTTCTTTAACTTCGTTTATATTGTTCTGTACAAAACTGCCGTGCAAGAACTAAGGTTTGGTAGAATTCTAACTCTATCATCCGAACACCCGTTTATTCAAGGCTTGTTTTTTGGAAACTTTTGGAGGTCTTTTGTGTTGTTTTTTTTTTTTTTAGTGTACCATGAATCATTGGAATACACAAAATTTATGTAGATATCACATGCAGATTTATACTATGGTAGACAACTTATGTGTCACGTGGTAGAGGATTATAGGTCACGTGGTAGAGGGTCTGGCGTGATGTGGTATATGACATTTGCGTCACGTGGTAGAGGACTTATACCTCAAGTGTTATATGTTTGCAAGCAAGGTGGACGGCATTGTTGGGTCAACTGCTGCATTCCTAACATAACAATGTGTTCCTATCCATCGGTACTGGATTTAATGCACGATTGACACTCTTTTTCAGTGCCAATGACTCAGCACTCCACTTTAGTTGTGTTTTGGCTTGAAAACATGCGATCCACAGCGTTTTTCATGTCCCAAGCAACCGCTAAGAAAAACGCGCACACACACACACACACAGCCTATAGTCACTTACCTGAAATGTGACCAATGTGTTATTCTTGAGCACGTTTATTGGGTATTGTGCACACTTTGAGGAAGGAAACACAGTGCCGTTTCAAGGAAAGTCATGCCTTTTTGAAATTTTGGAACCCCACCACCGAATCAACCCAGCACTTGATCTGATCCGGCCCTAGACCCAGTTATACAGAAGAGAGAAATTTTCTGAAAGAGAAATAAGACTTGCTCAATTTTTTGTGATACATGCCATTGATCCAGAACGATATAAACAATGCCGCACACAAAGGTCTGTTTGATAGTATCACATGTGTATTATCATTTGAGAATAAAATCTATTACTGTACAGAATCTTAGTAATTTCATTTAATTACGTGCCAAGTTGCTATTTAACTCAAAATGACACATATTATACTGAACGATAAAACAGTTTTTTTTTCTTCGATAGATCTTCAAAGTTGGCAACCTTGTGAGACGCTAATTAATTCGTTTTACTTTAGCTGATGAGGCGGGTGAACCAGCATGAAAAAAAAA